ACAGCTTTCTTAGCATCTATTTCTTTTGGTAGCGGTAGATAAGAAGATGCTTTTAGGGGGTTGACTTTATTTATACTTATATCTAGGTAGAGAAGTTGTTGCAAGGTCCAGCCTGTAACAAAGGAGACATCGTATAGTATAAAGCCGTTAACTAACCACGATACATACCACTTTCTTTTTCTTGGAATTCCACACATTTTTTTGCCAAGATATTTGAAAATTGTTGAAACAACTCCTCCAAGTCTGCACCCTCGTTCACCAGCGTAAATTTTGTATTAAAAGAGTTGACCTCTTCTAATTCTTTTGTTTGCAGAAGGAAGCGGCCGAAAAGCTCCACACCGACCTTGATATGGTTAAATTTATTAACCATATCCCCTACCAGCTGGATGAATTTTTTCTGAAGGCGTTGTAGAAATTCCTTCACGCTGGTAGGGTCTTGTTTAGAGGAAAGTCGGTATGTTGCAATTCGGCATTTAAATGACGTTTTTATCAATTCGACGCCTTCCTCCTGCTCCACGTAGGTGTTGGCCCGGTGTTGGAGACTCCGAAGATGGCCAACCCAATGATTAGTCGGAATCTCCAGATCACATTCCTGACACCTGCGGGTGACTGATGTTGAAGTTTCTAAAAAAAAAAACAATAATTTAGATTTAACAATAACGAGTTTAAAATGGGGAACAAAAATTAAATTACCAGCTCGGTCAAGTCTAGCTTGTTTCTTCATGGGGGTTAGGGAATCTTCAGCTTTACGTTTGAAGGCTCTCCGGGCTGGGTGAATCTCCATTACATGACGTTGAAGAGCCCCCGCTGATCTAAAGGTCCCTCCACATTGACTGCAGATGTTGGTGGAGGATCTGCAGTCCCCATGACGTTTTAGGTTATCCTTTCTGGTGAACGATTTATTGCAGAATTCGCAGACAAACATTTTCTAAAAAAAAAATCCTAAATAAAATAACTAGCAAAACATTATAATAAATTCGCTGTATGAGGTCATAAGATCATACACGTGTTGGGTAAGTACTTTTAATTAACCATCAACTATTATAAAAAAAAAATGTAGAACAATTAATCTCCTATACTACAATAATCGATTCATGTTATAAAAATAATTCGTTGTATGCGCTTTTTAGCTTAGATACAATTTAGTTACTTTTTATAAACCTTAACTATCTAATCATTGGAAGAAAAAAGTAAAATATGCTGAAATCGAAGAACGTGTATGAAAACGTATGGAAAAAAAATATATAAATACCAGAAAATACAGAAAAAAACTCACTTCACAGCATAAGTGTCCACTACCACCATGAATGTACCAGCAACCTTCATTTTCGAGTCAACCAGTCCGAAAAAAATGACCAACAACATGTTGGTGGTTTTTTTAAAGAATTTATTTAGGTAAGTCTTTTTTTTTAATTATCTACGCACTTTTAGTTTTTTGTTTTTTTTGTTTTGTTTTAATAATTTCCAGGTTTGGGAGAAAGGACGTCAAGATAGTGAACGGGCGAGTTCATCTATATTTGTCGTACTCGCCCAAGAATGAGACGGTGGACAGTAAAATGAAGGGGTTGCCAGTAAAATACATGAGAGTGGTAGCGGACGATGAAGATGAACTGAATTTGTTCCTACAGGGACTCAAAGAATTCAGCCAGTTCAACTTCTACCTACTGGATGAAGCTGACCGGAAGAGGCAAATATCTGAGGTTGATGAGGAGGAGAAGCTTGAGGCAGGAGAAGAAAAGCAAGAAGAACCCAAGAAAAAAAGAATGAAAATTTTGGAAAATAGAATAATTAAACCATCAACGTCAGCATCAATTATCTATGATCTTGATGCTGATGATTTTGATTCTCAAAAATACACTGTATTGTAAACTTTAATAAAATTAAATAAATATTTTTGACTAAACTATTATAATTCTTTATTTATTTATTTATGTTTAGTACCTATTTGTTACTATAAAAAAAAAATACTTTTAAACAGATCCTCAAAATCTCGCCCAATTTAAAAAAAACAATTAAATCTCTTGAAAAGCCCACATTTCTATACTCAAATTTAAAAGAAAAACTTATAAACAACTAAAACTACCTTTAAACTAACAAAACTTCGCACATAAAGTCTGTTTTTTTTTTTTTAAGATAATTCCCCAAGTCAAAAATTTAGTAACTTTGTTGGCAACGCAAGCCTTTTCTACATAAAAAATTTGAAGCATTGACAATTTTACATTGTATTGCCAACATATGTCATTTTGACTTTTATCTTTAAAAAAAAAACAGATTTTAGGTACATAAAAACATTGAGTGAAAAAAAAAGAAAATTAAAAATTTTAAATTGGTTTAATAAGTTGAAAACGAATCGGTACTTACGATTTTAAAAATAATTTCTCCACAAAAATTGCACACGAACACACACACACAGTCGCAACGGAACCCAAAGTGATCTTACTGTGACGGAATTGCGACGAGAAATGATAAATAATTGAACAATGGTTTATTTAGGTATGACGCGAAATAATGCACTGCATCTGCATAAAATCCTTGAATCCAACACGAGTTTAATAAATAAGGTGGAATTTTCCTATGGATAATTTTTTAATGTAATAGTAATATCAATTTTAATCGGGATTTTAATGAATTACGTAAATAATTTAATTAGTCATCTCGTGTAGGTAACAAATTTAAAATATTCAGCCCAAGAAGAAATTAATTAATAAAATATATATTGTCTCTACACCATTAGAGCTAATATTGTTGACTATCTGTGAATATTTTATGAAACCCTGTTAATTATTTTGGAATTTGTAGTTACGAGGGCACCTGAGCCTGGGAACTTTTTCGATAGCGTGGGAAAATCTCTAGATCGGCGGCGCCTTTGATCTGAAATTTCGGGGATTTGACCCGGACCAACCCCAAATTTTTGGCGGTTTTCCCGAAATTTGACCGCAGCTCCTTATCTCATGGTGTCATCTGATTTCTTCTGATTCTCATTTCTCTGATTTCTATCAGTACAAGCTACAAGTGGAGTTTCTAAATAAATATAATGTTCTCTACCATTAGGACATTAACAATATTATTTCGTCTATGATTACTTAACGAATGTTGTAATTAAATTATTGTTACGTCAGTGAATATTATTTATAATAATAGAAATCAGGCGAGGCTAGCCTAGCAACGGAACCAGCCAACCGAACGACAATAAGCCAAGCCTATTTTTTCATATCTACAACATTTAGCTTTAGCATTAGTTTAATTTCCAAGGCAAGCTTAGCTCGTTTGGTTATAGCACTGGATGACGTTGACTATGGTGCGGGCGCCTCGGGTTCGATTCCCAGCGGCAACATAGACTTTTTTTTAATGCTTACGTGGATGGTACGGAACGATTGGTAACGTGCGGGTAAAAAAAAAAGCTCGCTGCAACCGCCACGTTCTTGTTCTCTCCGCTAGATGGCGCTCGTAGATGAGCTGCGCCACGTTCTTGTTCTTTCCGCTAGATGGTGCTCGTAGATGAGTTTGAATGATTGATGATAGATGGCGCGCGGGGAGGGGGAGGGGTTGTGGGGTGGGGGTAATGTTGGGTTTGCTCAACAGATGGCGCGGGTAGATGAAGCGACGCTCTGACGTCAGAGCGTCGCCACACCCAGGTTGGAGCATGCGCAGTGGCTTCGGAGGCGTCGGAGGATGCAGAACCGGCCATTTATCTCTACTCACTGGGAAAGGCAATTATTTTATTATTATCCTCGAGTTTTTAAAAAGTAAAAGTAATTGGCTGTTCAACATACAGGGTGCCCCAGCCGAGAGTGACCCATTTTACGTTGGCTATCTACCTGCAGGTTGCGCTTGCGGTTCGACTTCTCTTGGCCCTAACTTTTTTTCAGTTGTTAGCAATTTTTCTGAAACTTAAAATCCGATTTTCAACATCGAATTTATGAATTTATCCACTATCTTCAATAGAATACCCTGTATATCACAACGTCAATGAGTCATGTTCAAGGTATCCATGTACCACATACCCCATGTACCAATAAACATCGTCCTTAAAACCTAAAGTTTTGGCCGTTAAAAATTAAAATCGAAATCCTGGTATTTTTGCACAGGCATGCAATTATATGTTGTAGGTAGGTACTTGTCGAGCTACTCTTATCAATATGGCAAACAATTTTGTCACTGTCAAGTTAAATATCAATTTAATTACAATAGATACATTTCAAAGAATATGATCTATTCTTAGTTGAAAAAGCCAAAACAGTACTACAGGCACTACAGAAACTAGATCAATAATAACGACAAGAAGAAGATTTCGAGCTATATTCTAGAAAAATTTTTTTTTTTTAGGAAAACATAATTTTCAAGCTTTGTGAATATGGTAATAAAAAATGCGTTTGCAAAGATACCAAGATTCCGATTCTATTTTTTCACTGCTAAAACTTTAAGTTTCAAGGACTATGTTTGTTGGTACATGGTTGTTGGTACATGGATACCTTGAACATTACTTTTTTTTTGGTGCTGTGATATACAGAGTGTTCCATTGAAAATAACGGAGAATTTCGATGTTGAAAAATGGAAATTTTTCACTCGCCCTGTACCTATAGGTACCAAAACATCCAACTGAAAAAAAAATTAGGCCATGAGAAGTCGAATGGCGCAAGCCGCAGGTAGCTAGCACACACAAAAGTTATAAGCATTTAAAATGGTTCACTCTCCTCGGCTGGTATAAGTGAAAAATGGCTTATTTTCTATTGAACTTTGTAATACTATGATTCTAATGATACACCTTGTATTTAATCTATTAGCTTTTAATTCGACAAAAATCTATATTAATGAACTTAGACAAGAAATTCGCTCAAACACGCAATGATTTGTACGTATTTTTTTATTCATAAAATCATTATCTCTATAACTAAAATTACACACCTGTCGCCTTGTTATTTATTAATTCCAATACATACTTGATTCTACTCGGTATTTTTACTTCCATTCCAATAATGCTTTTCAGTTTGCAAACAAGCATGTTACATTATATGCTGATATTTCTTTTTCTGACAATATCCACTCTTTCGCAATATTGTGATGGACTTTATACGAAATTTGCAAAAAGAGCGTTGCAAAAATTTCATGAAAAACCTAGAATTCAAAAGCTCTCAGGATTTTTTTTGAATCAGGATTCTTATTCGGATGATCCTGATACATCATTAATTGATTTACTTACTGCAGTTGCTAGCAATTATCTATCCGACTGCAGCACTGCAATATTTTATGATAATTACACTGAAACTCAAGATCGGGGTTTTCTAACAAATTTTTTCCAACATTATCCTTTGGCGCATGTTCATGGAAGTATACCTGAAGATCATCACATTGAAGATTCAGTTGATCAAAGTGCCGATAAATGCGTCCATTATATACTTTTCATAAAAGATGTTATGAGGTGTCAAGATATTGTAAGTAGAAGAAGTGAAAAAGTTGTTGTAGTAGCCAAATCGTCACAGTGGAGAGTGCAAGAGTATTTGTCTAGTGAGCATTCACAGGAAATTGCTAATCTACTCATCATAGTGAAGTCGGATAAGTTTTTACAAAAAAAGGTAAAATGTGATGTGTCTGAAACTTTTCAATAAGTTGAAGAAATGCTTTTCTAGAAAGAAACTCCTTATATTCTGTACACGCACAAATTATTTGTGGACGCTTTGGGCTCTAGCCAACCAGTAGTACTAACTTCTTGGTCAGGAGCAAATTTTTCGAGGAATGCAATTTTATTCAACACAAAACTCAAACATGGATTTGCTGGTCACAGATTTATTATTGCTGCTGCTCATCAACCGCCATATGTGATTAAACTGTAAGCCTAATATCATTGCATTTTTTGACAAACGTATATTCTACCAACAATAAAACAGATTTATAATTTAGTTTTATCTCTTCCACAGGGGACGTAATAAGAGAGATGAAATAGAATACGATGGAGTTGAAGTGAAATTAGTTGAAATTCTTTCTCAAATGTATAATTTTAGCACAGATTATAAGGAAAGCGCTGACATAAAAACTTTAGGGTAAGCTTCAGACTTGTAGTCACTATTTTAGTTTCCAGAGAAGACAGGATTACGCCTAAATCGAGACCGTAATATCAGGCGAATAATGTGTTAGATCACAGATTAAAAAAAAAAAAAACAGCCAACCATAGCAAGAATTCTGTACATTGTACATAATAATATACGTAGGAATTTAAGCCCACATATGTTCGACATTTCAGGAAGAAAGGCGTAGTGGAGCAAAATATGTTATACCTATGGGATAAAAGTGTTGGTATTCCATGAAGCCTATTTCGATGTCTATAATTTAATTTAACTACTACACGGTGACAATATCAAACCTTCCAATATATTTTAGAGGCAAACAAATTATCAAACATCCCTTACATCCGTTTCTATTTAGAGCGCAGTGCTCAACATCCTCGATCTTGTCTCTAGGGTTATCTAATGGGTATGGGTAGATTTGAACAGTTTATGTTGCTGCATCTGTCCAATCTGACGTTTATTTCATCATTTGTTATGGTAAGTTGCAGAGTCAAGCAACACGCGCATATCAAAACTCAACTATCAAAATGGGTGTTTTCTTGCGGCAATGTTTCTTGCCTTACACCCATTTAACGGTCTACTTGGTCATTCTCTCCAATCTACTATGTGGCCAAATTCGAGTCCATCGGTTTAGTAAAAAATCAGCAAAACCCGTTCGTCAACCAAATGCAAGATCTGCTGAAAACATCGCCGCAGACCGTGATAGTGTACAGGAGAACCAAAGGCAATTATTAATAATTTCTCGCCGCGCACATAAACTTGGCCTTTCGCAGACATCAACTTGGCGAATTTTGCACTAGGACTTAGGTATGCACCTGCACAAAATCCAACTAACCCACTAGCTGAAGGTAGAGTCCGCGTCAAGAGAAAAGAGTACGGTGACGTCATTTGCGCACAAACCCAATTTTGAAGACTAACCGAAGTATCGTATCGATCGGTGCTGCTGCCGAACGCCAAGCACGTGGTTCATTGTCGTACGGCCAGCAGGCATATTTATTTAGTTTATTTTGTATCCAAGTTTTGTCTAAAAAGATACCCCGCTGCTGGTTTCAGCTCACGGCCGAGGTCACGGCAGACAGCGAGAGATAGACGAGGGAGAGAGATCCGACCCGCTTCGCGCAGCTTTTTATTTCGTCACCGTAGTCTTTACTGCTGACGCGGACTCTAATCGAGCATATAGACAACATCGTGAGTTCGCTCACTGTGCTCTGGAGCGTCCATAAACAAAACTGCCGGATTTGGGACGATGCCAATCCACCAAGTGGCAATGTATCTGCAGAAAGTCACTGTTTGGTATAAATAGTGGGACGGCGGCATCTTTGGTTCAAACCTCTTCGAAAACGACGATGGCATTGCCATCATCGTTATCGGAGGGCGATACCCATCGATGATAATCAAGTTATCTTGGCCCAAATTGGATGATATGGATGTTGACGACATGTGATTTCAACAGGTCAGCGCTGCTATGTTTAACGACGTCATATTACAGAAATAATTTCATCGGTAAGCATTTCAAATGAAATAAAAAAAGTCGTTGATATTCCACACATAGTTTGTTTTATTCAATTTTTGTTTCTACCCGTCCCTATTGGAAAACCCTAAAATGAAAGACCAAAAACACCACAAAATAGAACAATGGTCAAGCAAAGATATGCCAAATTTGAATTCACTACGTTAACAGTTCAATAATTTTCAATGTCTTCATTCACATGATTTGGCATGTTCGATAGTTTTTGCTAATCAATTACTCAATTAATAATTATTGGTGTGTGAACGATGTTGAATCCCGAATGTTCGAATTCCTGTGCTCTAATTTCTATGTTGCTTACGGTATTTTTATTTCGGATATCTGATTTTTTTTCATAAAATACTATCAAAAATGATATTATTTTATGAAAAAAAATGATCTGACTAACGATCGGGAACGAAATATTCATGAAAAATTTTATTTCAACACTTTCTGATACTGCACGTATAAACTTTGATCTACCGTAGATTAACCTAACGGCTCAACTGCCAACAGGGCCACCAGAGCTTGGACTCTGTAACAAATCGCGATCAATATCTCTATTTCTAATGTATTTCCCCCTCTATTGATTTGGAAATTTGGATAAGAGAGAATTAAGAAGACGGCAGGTGTCATAGCGATGGGAATAACGATCTCTATCCATCACAGAGTCCCAGCCCAGGGGCCCATTTTATGGATAATTTCTAAACAAATGTGCAATTCTCAAAAGCTAAAGTAGTTGGAAACTTATCCCCTTTCCTCCACATGTCTGGTGTTCAGCCAGCGGGGCAAACATATACAAAATAAACATACTTTTGCTTGTGTCTACTTAAAGCGCATACATAAATAATCCCTTAGCTACTATTTTTTTTTTTTTTTTTTTTAAACTTTGCAGGTTCTGATTTGTGGTTCTTTTAGTATTTTGTGGTGCTGATTGAACTGTATGAACTTCCACTCTGATCTTTCACACAACATTTCGGGAAATATCGAACAAAGCAAAAACTTCTTGCGTTACTCTTTTAAATTTTGTGAATGAATGGGTACCTATCTTATGTACGTTATGATTTTTGGTTCTTTATTATGTTTTTTCGGGATTCTCTGATTACGAAATGCATCACTACCTAACCTTACAAATGCCTGAGTGGAAAAACGAGATTCTTGTTTACTATGTAAACTAGAATGCGAACTCTGACATTTATCGCAGATCATAGATTATTAGCAAGTAAGAATATATGTACCTTTATTTTTCAACCTTCATTTGCGATAATAAAAACGTTTGATAATAATGATAATGATAATTAAACCTGCCTGAATATACTGTACTGGAGCGACTGAGCGGAGATAAGAAGCTCGATTTCAGTAGAGAATCGTCAATTTCAAATTTAATCATCGTAAATCTGTTGTGATTGCAGACTCACTAATAAAATTTTCAATTAACATTTCAGACCTAGTGAAGCAGTGATCAAGGCGCTACAAGATGGGAATATAAATTTAGGCATTGGTGGCTTGTATATAACGGAAGACAGATATACCGCTGGTATATTTCACTGGCATAGTGAGGATTGCGCTGCTTTTATATCTTTAGCCTCGACAGCCTTACCCAGGTAACTAGGAATCAAAATCAAAGTCCTTATTTTTTTTTCTGATAAAAAACAAATGAAATTTTGAATCGGCATTTTGCATACTTTTCGCGTTTCAAGCAGAATACACACATCGAAAGAAAATGACATGCTGGGGCACTCAGTCAGTCAATTTTTCGACACATACCTAATCTTTGAAATATTTCAATTTTCAGTCCATAGTATAATTGGATTATCTTACTAATTATCTTTTTTTTTTCTCTGAAAAGTTAATAAACCCAATTTTAATCTAACAAATTGTATTTGTCTTTTATTTTTTCAAAAATAATAAAGTTTATTAACTGACCCGTCTTTGCGTCACCCGGTATGGAGTGTACAATAATGCTAATTCATACGGGAAAAAAATTATTTGTAGGATATGCGTTTTTTTTTTATGTGCGATAGATCCTGCATGTCCGATAACCTAAAACAACATTTCGCTATGAAAACGCGTAAAATGGGGTTAGATGGCAAAATATCGGAAAAACTTATTTGAAAAAAGTGATAAGAATTATATTTTAGGATTGTTTACGGAATGTAGAGCAAAAACAACAAAAAGTAAGAAATCCTCTAGTTTTCGCCATAAATCTCGTATCAAATAATATTAAGTTAGGTACTTGTACAGTTTTGAAACGAAAACTTCTTTAGGACGGGTGTGATTTGGGACTCGATGAAATGAAAAAGCCACACTGAAAAGGGACGAACAGATAGACCTATAGAATGTAGCCTGTGAAAGAATGGAAAAGAATACACTTATACCAAAGTCTTTATACCAAAGTTTACAGCTTATACAGTGTTCCCTATTATCTTCGTCTCTTCTGTGTTAGGTGCTTCGTGGCCTTCTCACTCATTCATTACAGTTGCTCTCTCAGTTCAGTGTCATGAAGGGTTCAATTCCCCTAGAACAAATAGAAATAATCGATTAGCACCACGGCCCACTACTAAACAAATGGCCATGGCGCACCAAGCAGTTTTAAAAGTCACGTGACCATAGAAGGCCTTAGTTTTGAAATAAATAGATGCAACTTTTATCTTTTTTTACGCATTTTGTCTATATGATTTATTAATTTAATTAAAGAAACATTAAGTAATCAGTTTTTTTTTCATTAATTAGGTTGGTAAGAGGCGGAGTACAGGATTAACTTGGATATAAATGTACAGGGTACAGGTCACATTTAGAAAAATAAAGTTTTTATTTTGGACCAAACTTTACAAAAAATTTTGTTTAACACAAAGGCAAGAAAACTAGTAAACATTTTGATGACGAGGCAGCACTTAAATTAGGGAAACACTGATTTTTAAATAGCAGAAAAAAATGTTGTCATCCTCTTGATACAAAATCCAGTTTTTGGTAGAACTTTCAATATCTCACTCACATAATTAATTTGCAGGGAACTTTTATAATCCTTAAATGATTCTAGGCTGGCCTTTATGGCAAAATCCTAGTTATTTTGTTCAACAGCAGCAAGTCTCTTCACACTAGTAGGTACTTTTCTTAGACAAATACTTGGAAGGCCTTCAAAAATTGTCGGCACCGCATTTTCTTATAGTTTAGGATTAATTCGGTCAAATTCTTTTATTTCATTTTTTCCTCGAACTTTGTCCCCCTTTATAATGCACTTTTCTTCAAATTCATGGATTTTTCAATGAACCTAGTTCGGTAGGAACATGGTAGGAATATTTCACAGCCACTCTCGTTTTAATTCATCATTCTTCGGCAAACAAGAAGTACCTGGTTATTTGTTTCACACCTTTTTCTGATTTTAATTGGACATTGGACTTACAACCGGAGACACTGCACTTAGAAGGCATAAAATTTCAGCAATATATTATCAGTTTTCAGGTTAGGAATAGATTCAACCTAAGGATTCAACAAATCAGAATTTTGTGTTTACCAAGTTATTTTGAGTTTCTTAACTTTAAACACGTTCAAACACACACCTTTTCGACACGAATAAAATTTAAAATATAGTTATATATAGTTAAAAACAAGCAAATATTTGGACAAAAACGGATAACTAACAACAAAACGGCACCCTTATGTGTGTAAATCAGCTGGTTCTTACAATCACCTGTTTGAAAATATCGGCCTTTTATGGTCACGTGGTACATCCAGTGCCAGGGCCATTTGTTTAGTAGTGGGCCGTGGATTAGCACAGAAAAGTTGTAGCAATGCCCATAGTTTTTGAAGTTTCCAGTAATCTCGAAATGTACCTTTAGGTTATCGGACATGCAGGATCGATCGCACATAAAAAAAATTCATATCCTACAAATAAAAAGTTTTGCATACGTAACGAACAAACTTGAATTTGAAAGTAAAACCACGTGGCTACCAGGCAGTATGCATGCTTCTAGTAGCTGATATGGTGTCCTCCAAAACCTCTCTTCACTAGAACTTCCATGTCCAAATCAATTCCAACATAGTTGTTTCTGTTGTGTTTCTTCAACTAGTATTTTTCTTCCGATTTCATTATTCCTCTTTAACGTTCGATAGATTTTCCGCGTTAAAATGCCTGTTGCTGAACATCTCCGAAATTAAATTCATTGTTATTCCTGGTAAATGGCATTATTCCTCACGTTACTTTGGGAAACATTGGACGAGTTCGAGTTTAACATCTGAGGAAATCTGGAGCGAAACATATACAAACTGTTAGGCTTTACGTTGATGAAATTAAAGTATATACCTATAGAAAGGAAATTTCTATTGGATTGAATAAATATCTTCGGATATCTGGATATGGTGCAAAAAGACAGATTTCGGAAGAAATTCGCTTTAGCCTGTTTTTTTCACTTATGTCTTTCGTATGAATTTGGTCTTATGCTTCACATGGTAAATTTAAAATCAATTGAGAAATAAAACCATAGTTTAAACAGGTGCTTCACAGTCAAATATTTTTCCATTATCCATGGATGCTTGGGAATTTATTTGTATGAGATTTGTGCTGCTAGAAAAGGATAAAGTCCTTTTAATTTATCTTCAACAAATTGTTTAAAAAGCGAAACATTGGAGTAAATAATAATCATTAGGCATTCTGCAGTTAGAAACATGGATGCAGGTATGCTTTAAGGTGCAACAAGGTAGGTACCTATGTATAAACGTATACAACCAATATTTTGGCTAAGCTTGACACAAAAATTTACAACTACGATGTCCGATAAAAGCCTCATCTTCCCGACCCATGAGAATATCTACCATGTGATGGATTTCGAACCTTTAACTGTTAAATGGGCCAAAATACGGAAAATATAAAATATTTTAATATTGAAGATAAGAATCAAAGGCCCTATTTTTCTTTCAAATAAGAGCGTTGACTACACTCGCCAGACGAATCGATCGGTCAACTATGTACCCTATATTGAATAAAAATAATATAGAGACACGTCTTTGAAGTTAGCATCAGATTCAGAAATGAAAATCATGTTTTTACACTCGACCAAAAAAGTAGTGTCACAAATAAAATAAATCAAAAAATCTATTCTAAAAGATTCTGTAACATCATCAAACTTGGTGGAAATATTATTGGGGGTGATGTACGTCACATACTGAAAAATCCCTTGCCCAAGGAGGGGTTGGAGGGGGTAGATTCCGCCCCAACAATGTAAATTGAATCAGATATCGAAAATTTTGTAGCACCACCAAAATTTGTGCAAATATTGCTTAAGTAGATACGAATGACATATCAAAAAAGCACATGTTTATCTCGGGGTTGAAGGGGAGAAATTCACCCCAAAGCTGTCGAAAAAAACAAATTTCTTTGAAAAATTTTGTAGCAGTTTCAGAGTTGGTCCAAGTATTGCTCGAGAAGATACGAGAGACATATCAGAAAAGCACATGTTTATCTCGGGGTTGAAGGGGATAAATTCAACCCCAAAGCAGTCAAAAAAATCGAACTTCTTTGGAAAATGTTGTAGCACTTTCAGAGTTGGTCCAAATATTGATGGGAAGATACGAGAGACATATCAGAGAAGCACATGTTTATCTCGGGGTTGAAGTGGGGCAATTTAATTCCAAAGTTGTCAAAAAAATCAAACATCTTTGAAAAATTTTGTAGCAGTTTCAGAGTTGGTCCAAATATTGCTTGAGAAGACACGAGAGACATATCAAAAAAGCACATGTTTATCTCGTGGTTGAAGGGGGAAAATTCAACCCCGAAGTTGTCGAAAAAAACAAACTTCTTTGAAAAATCTTATAGCAGTTTCAGAGTTTGTCCAAATATTGTTTGGGAAGATACGGGAGACATATCAAGAAAGCATATGTTTATCTCGGGGTTGAAGGGAGGAAATTCAACCCCAAAGCTGTCAAAAAAATCAAACTTCTTTGAATTTTTTTTTAGCAGTTTCAGAGTTGGTCCAAATATTGCTTGCGAACAATACGAGAGACATATCATAAAAGAACATGTTTATCTCGGGGTTGAAGGGGGGAAATTCAACCCCAAATCTGTCAAAAAAATCAAATTTCTTTAAAAAATTTTGTAGCAGTTTCAGAGTTGGTCCAAATATTTCTTGGGAAGATACGAGAGACATATTAAAAAAGCACATTTTTATCTCGGGGTTAAACGGCGGAAATTCAACCCCAAAGCTGTCAAGAAAAACCAAACTTCTTCAAATAATTTTGTAGCAGTTTCAAAGTTAGTCGAATTATTGCTTGGACAGATACGAGTGACATATCAAAAAAATACATGTTTATCTCGGGGTTGAAGGGGGAAAATTCAACCCCAAAGCTGTCAAAAAAACCAAATTTCTTTAGAAAAATTTGTAGCAGTTTCAAAGTTGGTCGAATTATTGCTTGGACAGATACGAGTTACATATCAAAGAAGCACATGTTTATCTCGGGGTTAAAGGCGGGAAATTCAACCCCAAATCTGTCAAAAAAAAACAAACAAAAACTATTTTACCGACATTTATTAATTTTGAGTAAGATCATAAAATGGAAATGAGTTACCGACCTTTTTAGATCCTTCTTTCCTTTTTCTCAAAATGAGCTGAGTTAGGTAATTCTTAACGATTTGCAAGAATATTGAAAATATTCATCTACCTAAAATATACCTGATCAACTGGCTAAAAAAAAAATACGATGAATTATGGACGCCTCATAACGTGTTGCGAAAACTAATTCTAAATGAGAAAAATTAATTTTTTTCTACTACCGGCCGTAAAGTACTCAGTAGTGCGTAAAGTGAAAATACTTCACGCACTAGTGCGTAATGGATTTGCCTCTAATCTATTTTTTTATACATATTTGATTGGTAGTAGAAAAAAAATTGTATGCAATACGTGCGTAAAGCACCTTTTTTCACGCATGTGATTGTCAAAATTCACATTCGTGAAAAAAAGTTCACTTTACACACTTGTTGCATAAATAACTATTATTGCAAAATTTTCTGAACAAAAACCTGAGAGGGAAATCTCTTTTGGACAAATGTGACTTAATTTTTTAAAGAAGTTTGTTTTTTTTTGACAGCTTTGGGGTTGAATTTCCCTACTTCGACCCCGAGAAAAACATGTGCTTTTTCGACAGGTCACTCGTATCTGTCCAAGCAATAAATCGACTAACTTTGAAACTGCTACAAAATTTTTCAAAGAAGTTTGATTTTTTGACAGCTTTTGGGTTGAATTTCCCCCCTTCAACCCCGAGATAAACATGTGCTTTTTTGATATGTCTCTCGTATCTTCCCAAGAAATATTTAGACCAACTCTGAAACTGCTACAAAATTTTTCAAAGAAGTTTGTTTTTTCGACAACTTTGGAGTTGAATTGCCCCACTCCCCTTCAACCCCGAGATAAACATGTGCTCTTTTGGTATGTCTGTCGTATCTTCCCAAGCAATATTTGGACCAACTCTGAAACTGCTACAAAATTTTTCAAAGAAGTTTGATTTTTTTGACAGCTTTGAGGTTGAATTTTCCTCCTTCAATCCCGAGATAAACATGTGCTTTTTTGATATGTCTCTCGTATCTTCCCAAACAATATTTGGAACAACCCCAAAGCTGTCGAAAAAAATTTCGTTTTTTTTCGACAGCTTTGGGGTTGAATTTCACTCTTTCAACCTCGAGATAAACATGTGCTTTTTTGATGTCTCTCGTATCTTCCCAAGCAATATTTGGACCAACTCTGGAACTGCTACAAAATTTTTTAAAGGAAGTTTTTTTCGACAACTCTGGGGTTGAATTTCCCCCCTTCAACCCCGAGATAAACATGTGCTTTTTTGATATGTCATTCGTATCTACTTGAGCCATATTTGCACACATTTTGGTGGTGCTACAAAATTTTATTCAATTTATATTTTTGGGGCGGAATCTACCCCCTTCAACTCTTCCTTGGGCAAGTGATTTTTCAGTATGTGATGTACATCACCCCCAATAATATTTGCACCAAGTTTGATGATGTTACAGAATCTTTTAGAATAGATTTTTTGATTTATTTTATTTGTGGCATTACCTATTTGTTCCACTGTTAACAACATGATTTTCATTTCTAAATCTGATGCCAGCTTCAGCGACGTTATAAAGACTGGTTACAAACTCCTGAAAATCAGGACATAAGATCATATCTGTTTTTAACGCCCCAGTTTGTGTGCTTTTCCTTTCAAAATTCAACCGAATATACGAATAATTTTGAAAAATTTTGAATACCTGTTCGATGTGTTAAATTAATTATTGTTATTAGGTACCGAGCTATAATGGGCCCGTTCAATTGGACTGTGTGGTTGGCTTTGATTATGGTTTACCTAGGCGCCATTCTTCTTTTTTCTTATTCGGACAAATCCACACTCAAACATTTAATCAAGAATCCTGAAGAAATTGAAAATATGTTTTGGTATGTTTTCGGCACTTTCACAAACTGTTTTACGTTCTCCGACAAAAAATCTTGGACAAAGGCGGAGAAGAATACTACGAAGCTTCTTGTGGGTAAGATAGTGCTGAATTGCATACAAATACAAAAATGTGTTAATAACCTGCACTCAAGCTTAGGCTAAAGCAGAACATAAGAGAAACCTATAATTTTGTCAGATTTTTGAAATTGGGAGACTGTTGTATACTGGGACAATATTTTTCTAATTGAAATAAAAAATTTGTTGAATAATTTTAAACTATTGTGGACATTCTAATATATTCAAAAGTAGTTAGTTTATAAAAAACTATAAAAAATTTAACAACTTTTACACTTTGATATAGAAATGATTGAATGTCTCACTATGCAACCACCCCATGTTGCATACTGGGAAAGATGCATGTGTATAGTGGGACAATGTTTTTTGAACCCAAATAAGTTAATATAAAAAAAAAAATTCGGTCGTTTATTCACAAAATGATAGAACTTCAACATAAATTAAGTACGTAGCCGAACTTATTTCGAATTCGAAAAAGTTTGAACCATTCGTCTCCGGCGATTTCATTTTCCGTCCATGTTTTTGGATAATTTTTTATTTGCGACGACATATTGTCAACTATTTAAGTAAATAACGACTCTGTACATCAATTTTACTAAAGTGTGTCGGCGAGTCAGCCCGGACGAAATCCATTACCCGGCAGACTAAGGCTAGTGCAAAGTACCTCAATTGGGAAAAGCCCCTCTAGCTAAGTCTCTTCCCAGTGCAAACTACCTTTGATGGGAAACGTCCTTCTGGGAGTACTGAACGCAGCAGACTAGGTCCAGTGCAAACTACCTTTATTGGGAAAACGCCCTTCTGGACCTGTCTCAAACCCAGCTTCAGTCTTCAGTCTCGCCAAGTGTACAGAGTGTACATAATACAGAGTTGCCTGAGTAGTACGTCCCTCCGTAGAAGAGACGTCATGGTATTATTTCTAGGGTAACATATTTCTATATATTCAATGCATCTCTCATTGTACCAATACCAAGCGAGTTTCTCTCTTTCTGAACCCACCTACGCCCCCAGGTCACGCTCCTGTTGTGACGTCCCAGGAAGAAACGTATAGGAGCTGTGACAATATCTATAAGCCAACTTCACTAGTTTGCTATTTAACCCGTAGCACATTTGTGAAGAAGTAACTGAATATTCGCTAAGCACTTGCTCTTCATCGTCACTGAAAATCTGCTTGACACCATGTTGCCTTTGAAAATTCAATTCCTGCGTGTCTGCTTCATTTATTTTGTGCTTCTGTCTATGCAGAGCTGATTTGCTAACTCCAAATTAAGTTGCAGTATTTTTATTATTGATTTCATTTTTGAAAACAGCCTCTGCCGTATTTCTCAAGGTGAATTTTCAAAAAACGATTTTTTGTATTTCCGGTTCCTATTCTTATCAATTTCTGGAGGAAAAAAGGTATTGAAACTAAGTAAAAAACGAAAGTGTTCTATTATAGAGCATATAAAATGTTTGCCCCAATATGCAACCCAGAAATTCTGTCCCACTGTACACTGTCCCACAATACACCCTTATACGCTTTTTGAAATTTTCTGAATTAAAAAAAAAAAAACAAACAAATACTAGCAAAAAATAACCTTAACTCACCTTCAAGACACATTCGCGCACAATTATTCTCAAATTCAGGACAAACCATTGGATATTACTGGCATAAACTATGCCCAACACGTGGTCGTAAAAAAAAACGTTGTCACTTAGATGCTTAGACTACCGAGAATTCCGCCTTATTGAAGACTCTAACAGCGAATGCCAAGTTTATATCTAATGCGCATGTATGAAGCAGTTGACACAATTTTTTTTCGGAATCTTAAGCGATACCAGTGGCGGATAGTTTGAATTCTCCCACTATGGAATCTGTCCCACTCCACTATACAACAGTTTCCCCTAAGCTATTTACGATTTGTTGATTTAAAGAAAATGTTGACTCCACAATGCCAGGGTTGCCAATACTTCAATAGACAAAAAAAATACAGAAATTGTCTTACCCACCACGACCACTACTCTAAATAGTAAAAAATCACACTGCCTTCCATCTAAGTGAGTTGAATTTCAGACACTTGCATCAGACACGTGCGTAATGGGGAAGTTAAACGCATGGCACAGAGCAGCAGAAGATGCTTTGAGCGTTTACTCTTGTACCGCGCCATCCATCAATTGCTAATGCTCATCCATGATGTGTCGTTTTTAATTACTTGGATTAAAAAGATGTTATTGCTTACGGCAGCTGTTCATCGGAAAGCATTTCTGGTCATGTTTAAGGAGTGCTTACAGAGGGCGCCGCGAAGTTTTTATTTATAAGGTCTCAAACCTCGAAATAGACCTCAATATTATATCTGAAATATTATGTATAAAAAGAAATAATACAGCAACGCTCTCCACTTAAGGGTATTGAATGCGCCGTTTATCATTGGCCGTTTAAAATATATTGTAACGCACGTCGAACTATACGACTCCCAACAAGTTAATGCTAATAAAGATGCGAGGTTCATCGCGATTATTGCATTGGGCTACTGTTGGGCCGGTTGGCCTTGGATCCTTCATGATAGCGATTTAAAATTTATCGCAAATCAGGCGGAGGAAAGAGCCATAGGGTTTGCTGTGGGTATAACAGAGACAGGCAAAATGACAAGAAGAATTAAGTAAATTTCTACAAAAAAAAGTAGATAATTTTTGGGATTCTGGTCTGTGCTATTGTATTGCTAACACACATAAGATTGGCGCTAATTAAAAAAGACACCATAAATTGATTAATTTTCTCGTTTTTTTCCAGTTTAAATTACACTTTTGTAATTTTTCGAGAACTCGTTTCTATTACCGGATTTCTAAAAAGATAGCGCCATTCTTCCCTACATTATAAATCGAATGCAAAAAAGAAATTTGTTATAACTTCAACTGCTAAAAAGTTACGTTGAAACTAAGAACGCAATGCATTCCTTGTTTCATTCATCCACTGCCTCCTATACTTAACAAGCCATGAAGTTGGAAATGACGGCAACGTCGCGTATGGTGCTATTTTGTTATTGGGTTATGTTTCTGTGTATTGCTTTCATTGTGTATTGTTGCAGTTTAGTATTTTTGTGGGCATTATTGACGAAAAAGTGGATAGAAACACACCAATATATTGCCCATATTTAGTTGATACCTGTTCCTTTGTGCTTTGATAGCAAATGGGTACAGGAGCAAAAATGAAGGTAAGGTGAGATAAAACAATAAAAACAATATTAATATTTGTCTGCAAGAGCATATGTCTCGATATATTACCTAAGATATTTAAACTTGTTCCAGATGCCATGAAACTACTGTGTTCCTGGGTGCAAATCGAACTATTAGGAGTTCCTTAAAAACTGAAGAAATGCAAACATTTTCATTTCCAAAAAAATTCTGAATTGCAAAAAATGTGGATGAAAGCAATACACCAAGATAATTATACCCGAGATTATACAATAACGAAAAATTCTGTGGTGTGTTGTAAACATTTTGAAGAAACCGAAATAATTAGATTTGAAACAAACAAGGATAAAGGCGTAGTTCGAGAGTTCAAACTGAAACGTCCAACTCTTAAAAGTAGGTACCTCTTATTTTCGAAAATCAGCTCAAGTATTTGAATGGACCTGCCTTCCGAAAAAATCCCGAAGAAAGAAAAAGTTAGATTTTTCAAAAGACATACTGAAACATAGGCCTATAACACTTTAGACTCTAGAAATATATTCATTTAAATAAATTATTTACTGTTCTTATTTACACAAATAGTTATATTATTCATTGAATTACTGTTTTTGGCCCTTTAGTACAATAAATTATGCATTTTTCGTGATTCATATTATTAAAATAAAAAATATATATTTATAAAAACAAACACCACCAGCACCACTTGGCGGTAAGATTGCGGTGTTGCCTTTTTAACTTCATGGCTTGTTAAATGTAGGAGGCTGTGATTCATCTCATTCCCACTAAGGAGTATTAATAGGGGGGGGAAGAATACAATGATAGACTGCGTTAGGTGCTTCGCGCAGGAAAAAATATTTTGGCATCGAGGCGCATTCAATCCCCTTAATTATGTTCGATAAAAGTTTAGTGAAAAATTACAAAATCTAGGATGTCAATTTAATGAGAATCATAAATGTAAAAATACACTTAATTAGATATTTTTGTTTAAAATAATAATAATGATCGATCATTTTATTTAAATTGGGACCCTTTCTACTGGTCTATCTGCCCTTAAAACTCATATGCTCAACCGGACAGCGAACTGAACATAAAAATGCGTCATTCCATTTATTAGGCAATGCTCAATAAAAAATATACAATATTGAATGACCTCGTTAGGTCTATCTGCTCTGAAAATTCATATGCTTAACCGAACAGCGAACTGAACATAGAAATGAGTCGTTCCATTTAGGTAATGCTCAATAAAAAATATAAAACGACTTGGTTGAGTCTTCTGCTCTGAAAATTCACATGCTCAGCCGAACAGCGAACTGAACTGGGAAATGAGACATTCCATTTATTAGGTAATGCTCAATAAAAAATTATAATATAAAAAGTAAAATTTAAACGTAAAGAAACCTGTAGTCACTACTTCCAAGTCGAGGTGTCACCAAGGACGATAGGCACTATCCATCAGTGTCTTTATTGAATTGGATCAATACTAAGCCTGGATGTAGGAGTAGGACCCTATCAGATAACTAAATTAATGATGGTCTCTTTTTTATTAAAAGAAAGGTGAAATAGACAAAAAGCTTGTCTACTGATTAAGTTTATAATAAGACACAAAAGTACATAAGTGAGCAGCGAAGCATTTTCATAAACGAAAAACAGGAGCCAGGGTTATTTCAGGGAGTATTTTTGTGCTCAATTTAGTTTTTCCTATGACAACAATTGAACTAATCAATAGAGTGGCTCTTTTGATTAAATAAACTTACCTACACGAACCAAAATGTACAAATCTTTTCACCCAACCGCGGAATAACTCCGAATACTGACGGCCGTTTCTGATTGGCCAGCACCGTACGTTTAACTTACGCATGTTGCTGTGGAACATTTAACTCACATAAATTGGCGGCAGTGTGATTTTTAGTCGTAGTTGTGGTCGTAGGTCAAAAGAATAAATTAAACGCACGTAGCGTTATAATACATGCTAATATTACAATTAACGAGTATTGAGGAAGATGAAGAGGAGTTTTTACTGAATCAGCTTTTGTTTATCAACTAATAAGTTGTATAAATAAATAAAATAAAATAAAGGTTTTCACGATGATTTTCATTCAACTTTGGTTCATCAACTTTAATCGGTCAACCTCTACTAAATTCTAAAATCACGGCCAATGATTTTCAACCCTTTTTTAGGTATCTACTGGATTTTCACAATCATTATAACTGCCTGTTATACCGGTTCAATTATAGCCTTCGTGACACTACCAGTTTTTCCTGCAGTGATTGATACAGTCGAGCAACTTTTAGGGGGTAGATACGAAATAGGAATGTTAGATAGAGGTGGTTGGAATCACTGGTTTCGCAATATATCTGACGAAGCAAGTAGAAAACTTCTGGGAAAAGTTGATTACGTCCCAGATGTAGAAAGTGGATTAAAAAACGTCACAAAGGCCTTTTTTTGGTCTTACGCTTTTTTGGGTTCAAAGGAAGAATTAACTTATGTTGTGAGAACCAATTTCTCTGTGGGGTAAGTTATTCTTTTTGCGTATTTATTATTTACATTATTTTATCTTCAAGCGGTCTATTATTTAAACTTTATTGTCAACAATACACCGAAGTGATGCACATTAGGCCTGGATACATTTTTATAGCTAGCGACAGCAGCGTCAATCAGCGCTTTTATGTTCTTGTAATTACTTTTGCGTTTTCTTCTCGCCAGATAGCATCAACGACCAGGTTCGGGAATAAGTTCCAACAGCATAATTTATTTATAATTTGCACTAATTTGTTCGTTTTACATTTTTTGTCCAATATTATGGATTAAGTTATTGCATAAATAAATATGAATGATCAAGTTGGTGTGTTAGAGTGACCCAATATTGATTTGACATTTGAAGTAAGAAGATTTGACATACGTTATTATAGTTGCAGCCTTTATTTTTCCGGAAATGGTGGAAGAAAGCAGTGATTGAGATGTGAGAGGAAACGTTGCATTCCCTTGAAGATAAAATATTGTATGCTATTCGGCCCCGAAGGTCTTTTTGTGCTTCGTTCGCTAAATGGGCCACTTTCACGTGCCGGGAATATCGCAAATTAAGATATTTTTGACGTAAATACATGAATGCAACCGAGAATGAACAATATTTTGCAAGATTTCAGTCAGAATATCAATTACTAGCTCTCACTCGCGGCTTCGCTCACGTTGATGTCCTTGAATAACTCTCAAAGATTACCTATTGAATAAATAATATGATAATTTTTTTTTATTGCTTAAGTGGAATCATTAGCAGGTATTTTATTATTTATATTTTAAATTAATTCCTCTTTGACTCTTCAGCTCTATTATATTTGAATTTTTATATTTTATAATAAAAAATAATACAGTTACGTCGGTTGAATGCGCCAACTTAAATAAATATGACAACGTTGGTTCATATTAATGTCAAAAAAAAGTTGGGTCATGTATATGAATGAGTTTGTTTATAATTAATTGATTTTTCTTTTTTTCAATATTGTTCTTTTTTATGCAAAGTATCCTATGTTCTTTATTAAACCCTTGACAATATGTGTACAGAATTTCATGATGATCGGTTTAGTAGTTTACTCGGGAAAGCATAAATAAACAAACAAACAAACTCACATTCGCAAATTACATTTTTCGTTTAGTAAATCTTGTTTTTAAAAACTATCTACACACATCAAAATAGTCTAGGGAACAAGAAATAGGTACCTATACTATCAGAAATTTTTGCTGATTTTATTTATAAAATATTTAAACTAAACAAGTTTGCAAAAAAGAGCCGATATGGTAAATTTGATAAGATTTGCTTAATAAATAATACCCTCGTTATCTTTAAAAAAAAGTTGTTGGGACTTAAAATTGGAGGACAGATATTTCTTGTTCCCTAGACTATTTTGATGAGTGTATTTTATTAGAAACTAAGAAGTTACAACAAAAAATACTAGACTCTAATTGCTGCGGCAAAAGACCGGAAACAAAGAAATCTTGATTGTAATTGCTATAGTGAAATCTAAAAACAAAAGAATGAGCAGAGACCTCAGCGCGGCTCATTTATACCAAAATACTGCCGACGATGCATTTGCGTGGGCGAAACCTTGATATGACGGTACTTTTCCAGGCTGAATATCCCTTACTCAGCAACTTTATAATATGTGGGATTTTACAGTGGCATATGCTTATGTTTAACATTTATAAGGGGAATTATTTGTATAATAATAACATAGGGATTTATTATATAGCTCCTCCCTCCTTAAGTGGTTGCAAATTGGTATTGATTAACAATGTTGAACGTTTTCCTTTGGAAATTTCCCTTGTGCAAATTACACTGGAAATGTTGCATACAAATTGTCAAAATTAATAAGTGGAAATTTTTGGAAATATCCCGGGGAAAATTTCCAGAATTGTCATTTTTGACATTGATGCCCGTTTTTCCATTTAAAACGCATTGATGTCAGAAATCTGTCAGAGTGTATATTTTTGACAAAAGCAGTTTATATGGAAAAGATCAATAGCAATCAGCATCAATAAAAGAATTCGACACAATGTAGTAAATAAGTTTCAAACTCGGGAAATTTCCTATCAAAATATAACACGTGCATACAATATTTCCTAAGGGAAATTTTAAAAAATTTCGTCTTTAGCCAATTTTTTTAAACACTAATTTTATTTCTGTCAAATTCCTTAATAAAAATAGGGTCTTTTAATTCAGGTTCCTTTTCACGTTGTTTATTAAATTTCTCTAAATTTTGTGTTTATCTTGATATTAATTTGTCATGAATTACATTATTTAGTTTCTAATGATTCGACAAGATTATTGATATAATCTGTAGTTATCTTATTTTGTGAATTTTCGATAGGTATTGAATAATTCAAATCGCCTTTAATTATTTGGGAAGGTGTATAACCTGTAACACTATGTATGCTGTTATTATAGTTCAAGATTGCAATTACCTTCAGGTCATTTTTTTGTTTTTATTTGGGCTTTGTAATTTCCAGTTTGTTAAACTTTCTCTCAAGGTAGAATGTAATCTCTCAATGGGACTGTTCGAATTAGGATTTCGAGGAGTCGTATAATGAAATTCGAGTACATAAATCTGTTACAATTGCATTTTTAAATTCAGTTCCGTTATCAAAAGTAATTCTTTGTAGAATTTCGTGATCACTGAAATATCTTATTAGTTGTGATGCAATATCAACTGATGTTTTGCTAATAATTGGGATAGCTTGTGCAAACTTCGAAAAGCTGTTAATAATTGTTAGGAATTTTTTATTCGAAACAACGTATGTATCAATATGAAGGTGTTCAAAGGGTTTTGAACCGATTGGAGTTGGTTTGAATATTATTTCGTAGGGTTGCCTTTCATATTTTGTCCTATTACATATTTCAAATGTTTTGACATATGCTTGTACGTCTTTTTCTAAATTAGGCCAATAATATCGTTTCTTCAAAGATGAAACATTTTCTGTAGCTCCGCGATGAGATGTTTTAGTCTCTTGGTATAGTATAATTTTTTCTTGCTGTTCATCAGTTTCTGTTATGTCTTCGACAAAAGAATTGGAAATACATCTATTCTATCTATTCAGCCTTCTTCAGTCCATCTTGGGACGTAGGCCTCCCCCAGTCTTCTCCATTCCTCTCTGTCTGTTGCCATGTTCATCCACCTGGTTCCAGCGTGCTTCTTCAGGTCATCAGCATACCTCGTCTAGGGTCTTCCTCTACTTCTTTTATTTTCCCAAGGTCTCCAGCTTAAGATACATTTATTCCATCGGTCGTCTTTTTGTCTGATATTGTGACCTGCGAATTTCCATTTTAGTTTTGCTACCTTCTTTCTGACGTCTCTTACTCTCGTTTTATTTCTTAAACCACTCGTTCCTCTTTTTATCTATCAGTTTCACATGTAACATTTGTCTTTCCATTGATCTTTGTGCTTTTGTTATTTTATCCATATTTGACTTTGAAAGTGTCCATGTTTGGGATCCATAAGTGAGAACGGGAAGTATACATTGATTAAAAAATTTGGTTTTAAGGTATTGTGGATATTTTCTATTTTTCAAGATGTAGCTCAATTTGCCGAATGCTGCCCAAGCTAATCTAGCTCGTCTCTTGATTTCTACAGTTTGGTTTTCTTTGTTGAGTTTAATTATCTGTCCTAGATATATACATATATATTCATCGACTTGATCTATTTTTTTCTGTCCTATTCTGATTGTGATGTCATCGTCTGTGTGCGTTATTGTTTTAGTTTTAGCGTAGTTCATATTGAGACCTATGTTTTTAGCTGCTGTGTCAAGTTCTTCCAGCATTTCCGTCAGTTCTTCTTTCTTATCAGTTATAAGGGCGATATCATCCGTGTATCTTAAGTTGCTCAAGTATTGTCCGCATATTTTTATACCTTTTTCTTCCCAGTCTAGTTTTTTAAAAACATCCTCCAGGGCCTGGTTGAAAAGTTTGGGTGATATTGTGTCGCCCTGTCTGACACCTCTTCCTATAGGTATTGGTTTTGTTCCCTCATGGATTTTAATAGTTGTTGTTGCTTCGCTATATATGTTGCTTATTAGGTCTGTGTATCTATAGTCTATTCTGCTATTAATTAATGATCTCTTTACTGCCCAGTGTTCAACACTATCAAAAGACTTTTCGAAGTCGACAAATGCAATATATAGTGGGATGTGATATTCGTTAGCTTGTTCTATTAGGATTTTCATGGTTAATAGGTGGTCGCTTGTACTGAGACCCTTTCTGAAGCCGGCCTGCTCTTTCGATTGATAACCATCGAATTTTATTGTTAGCCTGGTGCTGAGAATTTTTGTGAAGAGCTTATAAATTACATTAAGGAGTGTTATAGGTCGATAGTTTTTCAAGTCAGTTCGATCACCTTTCTTATGAAGGATGATTGTTATGGATTCCTTCCAGTTGTTTGGGATTTTCTTTTCTTTCAGTATTTTATTTGGGAGGGTATGGAGAGTATTGATAACCGTTTTTTCTACCGTATTTTAGCATTTCTGCCGTGACTCCGTCTTTTCCAGGTGCTTTGCTGTTTTTCATTTCTTTCAGAGCCCTCTTTATTTCCGATTTGCTTATTTCGGGTTGTAGTTCTGAGTTTACATTCTTTATTTTAGTTTGTAGTTGTTTTACGGTTTCTTGCGGTGGTCCTTTTTTTGTTTGATATAGTTCTGTATAAAAGAGTTGTGTGATATTTATGATATCTTCCTTAATATTAGTTTCTACGCCGTTCTTGTCTCTTATTTTATTTATTTCGTATCTTCCTAGTGTTTCTTTCTATTTCTTGGTTCTTCCTTTTGTTTTCTTTTATCATTTTCCTGATGGTCTTATTGATTTCTGTGTATTCTATCGATTTCCTTTTCCCTTGTTCGTTCAGTTTCCGCCTTCTCTCCATGAATTTCTTTGTCTCTTCTGATATGCAATCTTCCTTCTTTTTATCTTTTTGTGCGATTTCTTTTCCTACCCTAACCATGATTTCC